TGAGAAACAAGTGATGGGTTTTAATCTGAACAAAGAGGAAGCTGGAAGCAAGGCAAAGCTCAAAAAAAAAAATCAGCAGCAAATGGAAGGAAGAGGAAGGACTAGAGGAGCCCATTCACATATCAGAACATTCCTCTATCTACACACTCAACTGGGCACACATGCAAAAGACACTTCATGTGGCATTTAGATTCTTCATTGGTGTTGGAACTATCCACATATTCCAGGGCAGAAGACCACTCAGAAACGCAAAGCATGTTAGAACAGCACAGGTTTAGTATGCTTGAGGCCTCCAGCTGCAGTCCCAGGTAGAGCTAGCTACCAGGCAGCCCTGCAAGGAGTTTGGGGTAGCTGAGATTTTGCAACATCAGATCCAATCCATAAGGGTAAGCCACTTATACTAATTGTCTGCCCCAGTCTGTAAAATTGTGCTTAGCTCTTTCCCAGGTAGCCATCCCTGCAGTTGATTCATAACATTAATATCTCCAAGGTGGCCCTTTCTGTACTGTGTATCATTAACTATTCCTCCATGTAAGAGAGATTGCTAGCAGACATTGAAGGAGGAGGATGACTTGTTAACCCAGTATACCAGTGGACCCAAAACTTTTACACCCTGTGTGCATCTTTGGAATTCTGATACAGCATGGCATGTTTACACAAACATGGAATTAACAGGGCACTACATCATTATAGGATTCTTGTTGCCACCTTTAAAAAAATTCCAGAATGGTTTTAGGATTGTATGGTTAAGTACCGGGCTGTGCATTTGGATCTACGCGAGCTGAAAATATACCCCAAAAAACCTTATTGGTATTTTTTGGGTATATTTCGGCTTCCCAAATGTGTGTGGGGTTTCTTGGGAAAACGGGGCGGGGGTGGAATCCCAAGAAAATCCCAGATATATTTGGGGATTTCAGGTCAATCTGAAAACAAGGGAGAGATGGGAGCAGATTGCTCCAACCACTCCGCTGTTTGTCAGGCAGGCTCATGCAGTCCCCTTAAACTTTAAAGGGACTGCAGAAGTCAGCCTAAGGATCAGCTGGGTCACTGGGGATTTGAGAGCTCCCCACCAATGCAGCTCTGTGCTGCCTTCTCCAGGCAGCAGGAGAGGGCAGCCCAGCCGGGATTAGCTATGCCTGCAGGGAGCCAATCGATCCCCGCAGGCACAGCTCTGCACTGCCTTCCACTGGCACCCAGTTTAAACCAGGTGGCAGAGAGGGCAGCCCAGCTGGGATCGCTGCTGTTAGCTCTCTGCAGGCACAGCACTGTGCTGCCTTCTCCTACTGTCTGGTTTAAAATGTTTTATACCACCCAGTTTAAACTGTCTCATGACTGTCTTATGACATTTCCTTTTCTATACTAGATAAACATGAACGGTCTGACATGCTGTTATCATTTGGGAGATCATTCTATAAAACTGCTTTCAGCTCTTAATTCTGTTTATCATACTGATGCCACCTTTCTGCATATCAAAATGTCTTGCTGCACCTTGGGATCTGGTCTCGTTTCTCTTTCTTTGCCACAATCAAGCTTTATCTTATGAAGTAGATCAAGGGCACTAAAATCTGCATTCAGGTTTTCCTTCTTTTTTGTTTAGGGAGTTGAGAAGGAAAATATATTTTGAGGGGGGGTTCAGAATACTAGATAATGGAGAAAGAAGGCATTAATAACTTCAATATAGAAACTTTGAGTGCACTGTGAAAGTAAAGCCACTTTTCAGAACCTTGAAAATAGGAACTCAGAATGGGAATAGTGTCTTTGCCTGACTGGATCCTTTGTTGTTCCAAAGTGCTGCTCAGTATTGCAACCCATACCACTGGGATTCTGGTTTAACTGGGGGAATTTTTTTAAAAAAAATCCAGAATGGGAGATATGCAATTTTTGATGTATTAAGTTCCTCATATATTTCCTCACTTTAAGGCCTAGAAAATGCAGTGAGCTTCCTAATCTTATTTAGTCTTTCCTCCCCTTCTCATTCTCCCAGTCCCCCCCTTCTCTCCCCG